AAAAACAGTAAGTGTAGAATGTCTGTACCATCTATAATACTAAGATTTAATTTAATCAATGCATTTCCTTAGATTTAAAAAATCATTTTGTTAGAGTCCATGTTAGAATCAGTATATGTATTTAAAATGGAATTAGAGATATGGATTGTAGTGTGAATGACTTCAAATAACTCAAATGATGCACATGTCAGAAGGAAACATTTCTAAGGGCTGCTTCATTGATTCAAGTGGAACTGTTTTATTCAGAACAGCTCAGATTAGCAGCAGCAGCAGCTGGTGTTCAATGAAATGCTTCCCTTTTCCACCTACTCTCCAGCTGGGTTAAGACAGGCACAAAAAGATTGGGATGACCAAGGTCAAAGCATGATTTGATAGACTTCCAGGTTTTTGCTCCAGTAACTTCTTGTGTAGTCTTGCCTATAGAGGCAATTAGTGAAATTGGCGGTTGAAAAAGTCATAGCTTTAGAAGGACTTCATAGATCATCTTGTTCAATATCTTAATTTTATACTTCATATACCAAGGTTCTAATTAAAATACTTTATTGTTGCATATTTATTGGAAGTGACAAGAAGTTAAGATTTCTTACATTTATTTCATTTGCCTGATTTTTCTGTTCCCACTGAATTGTATAAGCAGGCACCACTGCACCTTGTATCTCTACTTGACATAGCTGAAAAATGAAACATTCAAAGATACACTACTTTATTACATGTTAGCTCAGTAAAGGGGTCCTCTATTAGATATGCTGGTCTCAGTTCTTAACTTTAAGCTCATAAAGCCTGATTCACTCATTCAAACCTTTTTTGAGGAGTTACCAGGTTTTAGCCGTTGAGATAGATACTGAGGACACAAGAAGTCAAGGGTGCTCTCCTCTCTCAAGGAGCTTAAGGGAAGACAGAAGTGCTAAGCACATACATCGAGTGTGTAGAAGGCACACAGAGGCATAAGCAATGACCCTGCTTGAGAAGATCTGAAAGGCTTCTCAGAGGAGGAGCTTGAACTTATCTAAAAGGTAGAATAAACTGCATGCAAAGAGCTCCAAATGTCTCTCAAGTGTAAGTCATACTGCCTAAGCAATATATTCATGTGGGAAGTGGGAGATGGGGCTGGAATGGAGGCAGGGACCACATTCAATGGGCCCTGTTTTTGGAGTTTAGACATTATTCAGAAGGCCATGGTGAGCCACTGATAGAGTTAAGAAAGGCAGCAAGGTGATAATACATGTTTCTTAAGAAAACATACTGTGATGAGGACATTTGGCAGGAAAGTAGTATCATATGAACCAGCACTCTATGAATGTTGGGGTTAAAATAGTGAATTAGGTAATATGATCTTACCCTTCTGGAACTTAACAGTCTAGTGCAGAAACACTACGGGTCTAAACACTAAGGGTCTAAATTAAGGTAGTAGCAGCGGAAATAGAAGGAAATGGATGTTATGATGATAATGATGATAATATTATTACCATTTACTGAACACTCCCATGTGTCAGGCACTAAACACTTCATATGCACTATCTTTGTCCATTCTCCACACAGTAGCTAGAGTTTTTCTATAGCTCTTATCATAACTCTCTCAAACCCTTCCAGAGGCTTCCCACCTCCTTCAGCACAAATACCTAAGTTCTTAGGAAAAGCTACAAAGTCCTCCAGGCTGTGACCCACTGTGACTTCTCTGAGCTCACCTTCAACTCCTCGTTCCTCTCTCTAACCACAGTGCCTTGCTAGCTGTTCCTCGATGACTCTAGGCACCTTTCTGCTTCAGGGCCCTCTCTGTCTAGAAGGTTCTTCCCTTTATATTCCCACAGTTTGTTCCTCACTTCTGTCAAGCCTCTGATTAAATGAATTCTTTTCAATAAGACCTTCTCTGGCCACTCGGCACGACAGAACTCCTGTAGCATTCCCTATTCCCTTTGCCTTGCTTTATATTTCTCCTTAACATATCATATTCTGACATAACACATATGTGTTGGTTTTCTTCCTCCATGGATCACAAACGCCATGAGGGTAGACTGTGTTTGTTCCTTGCTGTATTCTCAGCACTGAGAACAGTGCCGGCACATACCCATTCAATACATATGAATGGATGAATGAAGGATTATAATGGTCCTATGAGGATGGTACTATTATTTTTTCCCACTTTCCCGAGGAAACAGATATCAATTGAGGTACTCAAGGTTGGATTTCTGGTAACTAGAAGAACTGGGGTTTGCATGGTGGGGGGGGGGCGGGGGGGCCGGGGGTAGCCTGCCTTTGTTGAGTTGTACTATGTGCCCAGCATTATTGTAAGAGCTTTAGGTATATTAACACTTAATCCCTACAACTCCATTTTATAGATGAGGAAACTAAATCAGAAAGGGATTTACAATCTTGCCTGGAATCTCTGCACCTGTAAGTTGGGAGCCTGTGCTCTCAGCCACTTCGCTTCACTAATTCTAAGGCCTATTCTTTGGAGAGATACAACTTTGCCTCTTAATTGCCAGGAGAGTGAGGGAGAGGAAGAAATCTAGGATTACTACCATTATTATTATTGGGGACCGCCATAGATGGTAGAGTCACCAATCAAGTCAAAGAATGTAGGATGAGTTGGTTTCATTCTTCTCTAACTCTAGACTTCCACATGCAACTGCCTCTGATATCTTTGCTTGGATACTGAGACACAAGGTCAGCTGCAGTTAAAGGGATTTAGAATAACCATGGGAGATCACAGAAGTTAGTTGTCTTACATCAGAGTTGACCTGGTTCACAGGACTTGCTCAATGAAGTCCTCAGGGCCCCACCTTGTTGCTCTGCAATCCCTAGAATGTTTCCCAGTGTCTTAGTCTGTTTATGCTGCTATAACAAAATACCTGAGACTGGGAAATTTGTAAAGAACAGAAATATACTTTTTCACAGTTCTAAAGGCTGGGAAGTACAAGATCAAGACCCCCAGTAGGTTCAGTGTCTGGTGAGAGCTGCTGTTTCCAAGGTGGGCTTATTGCTATATCCTCTGGAGGGGATGAATGCTGTGTCCTCGTGTGGCTAAAGGGATGGAAGGGCAAAAGAAGGCCTAAGCTAGTTCCCTCCTGTCCTTTCACAAGGGTACTAATCCACCCATGAGGCAGGGCCCTCATGATTTAATCAGCTGCTAATATCACAATGGGGATTAAGTTTCAACATGAATTTTGAAGGGGACACCATCATTCAAACCACAGCATCTTTCAACATAGTTTACTACCCCAACTATTTAATACATACATTCATCAGAAAAGGACAAAAGGGCAAGTGACACCGAATTCCTTTCAGAAAATGATCTGGAAGTTGCATACATCATTTCTTCTCACTTCCTACTGGCCAGAACTTAAGAGATATGGCCACACTTAGGGTGTATTATAGGCAACCATGTGTCTGGCTAGATGGTCTATTATCATGAATGAAGAGGAGAATGCACAAGAGTCAGCTAGCAAGCAGTCTGTACAACAGATATCCAACAGATACCTCAAATTTAACATTACCAAAACTAAATTCCTGCTTGTTCTCCCAAAACCTGCTCCTTTGCACTGTTATCACAACTCAGTCCATGGTGGAAAACAGAACAAACTCAGGGGTTTGATGTTAAACATGTTGAGCTTGAGGTGCCTGTAGAATACCCAGTACAGGTTTCCAGTAAGGTGTTGAAGATTCTGTGTCTGGTGCTTCTGACTGAGGTCTGTGTTCAAGACTCAGGCTTGATTCCTGACCAAAATAAGTGACAGAAGAGTGTATGTAAAAGGTACTGTTCAAAGATTAAAACATGGTAGCAAAGAGAACCAAGGATGGGGAGGGAAGATTCTGCACAGGAGACCTGAGGAAGTACGGCCGAAGACACGGCAGAAGAGCAGAGAATGTAAGGTGACAGAACCAAGGGAGCAGTTTCCAGGAGGCAGTGGTTAGCAGTGTGGAAGGCTGCAGAGAGGTCAGATGTTGTGAAAATTGAGAAGCAACCTCTCAATTTGGCCATTAGGCCATAGTGAAATTGACACAAGCAATGTATACAGTAAAATGGAGGGAGTTGCTAAATTTCTGTAGCTGAAGAGGAATTTGGAAGGAAATAGCAATCCAAGTATAGACAGTTTTTCTAAATAGAAGGAACAAAGTAGAGGGAGAATTTATGAACAGGAGAGGGAATGATTAAGGGAGTAAGAGTCTTGAGTTAATTTCCCTTCCCTCAAGAAATAAAAATTACCTGTAGAAAGGACAGAGGGATGGCTTCTACCTTAAGACTCGAGGTCAGAAAGAATGCAAATTTAGACAGGTCTGTAGGGATAAGGGTGGGGGGGTATGTAGGAGTTCATGCCTGCTGTGTGCAATACTAAACAATGATACACACACCACCACCACCACCACTACTAAGCACTAACATTTATCGAGCACTTTATATGCCAGAAGAGTGTTCTTCATGGAGCTAAGCTTGCTTAACAGTATTTCTTAAATAATGGGAGCTATTCATATATTGAAAGCTTAGCGTTTTTCAAAGGTTGAGTGTGTAACATTCGGATGTGGCCTAAAAATAGCAACAGTGACTTCTATCCCAGCATATCTGAATTTTGTCTCTTCCACGCTCTTGACTTACTTCTGATCCTGGGGCATGCTGAGCAGTAAAAAAAGTTGTTTTTGCATTTTGATTCATCTGCTATGACTGGCATCAATAAGAAATCTTCGGCAATAAAACAGCTCTGTCAAAAAACAACTTCACCGGCAATTCAGGGCAAAATGTTTCCTTTGAAAAAAAAGTTTGTTGGCCCGATGCAGTGGCTCACGCCTATAATCCCAGCACTTTGGGAGGCTGAGGCAGGCGGATCACGAGGTCAGGAGATCAAGACCATTCCGGCTAACACGGTGAAACCCCATCTCTACTAAAAATACAAAAAATTAGCCTGGCCTGGTGGTGGGTGCTTGTAGTCCCAGCTACTAGGGAGGCTGAGGAAGGAGAATGGCATGAACCCGGGAGGTGGAGCTTGCAATGAGCCGAGATTGCACCACTGCACTCCAGCGTGGGCGACAGAGCGAGACTCCATCTCAAAAAAATAATAATAAAATAAAATGTTTGTTAGTATTAGCAGATACATATTAGTAGGTACCCCCCATGATCAATGAAGTGTTGGGTTACTCTGAAAAAGCGTCCAATCTTACAGGTGTGACTTCCTCTTGAACTGCAAGTTCTTGAGGGCAGGGATAGAGACTGTTCATCTTTTATTGTTTCCCAAGGTCTGGAACATAAATAGTAGTTCAAGTAGTCCAACGTATGACATACAAATAGTTCTGGGTAAACATTAGCTCAAAGTTTGCTCAAGGCATTGATGCAGATGTTTATAAAATTAAATTGTTCTTTTTACTGTACACTTGAAATGAGAAAATCATTAGAAACCACTGGGTCTCATTTTGACAAGAAAAGTCTGAAGAAATCACTGTTCACTTAGTAGATACAAAGTTGTTTTTCTGGGAAAAACACACCTGGAAAAAAAAAAAAACGTGGGTCTGACATGGGAGAATTTTTTTTTCCATATAAACAGATATACAGGGAAGTGGAACACTACTAGTATCTTAAGGATTCCTGAAAATATTTATGTTGGTAAGTTTGATCAGCAAACATTTCTAAATTTGAAAATGGATAAAGCAAAAAGCACAGTGAAGTCTGGAAAGAAGTCTAATACTAATGTCACACATAAGAATACATATTTAAAATTAATGAACTAAAAGGGATATAGATAATTTCTCCAGATTCCTAGGAAGAATTAAGACCCTCCTTGATCTCAGTAAAGCAATGAATAGTCATTCTGACATCTAGCTAAAAGCAGACTTATTTCCTTTCGGTCTTTAATCTTTTTGGAACTCAAGGATTTCTGCCACACTTTGATACACCAGGCCATTATAAAATTACACCTCATTTATTGACAATTTCTACTTAAAAGGAAGAATACCTAAAAGTATCTCCATACGCTAGATATAGTAGAAATGGTATGCTTTAATTAGTCTAACAATAAAGTCCTTAAAGATTTGCATTCTTTGTTGCCTATTTTGAAAACCTGCAAAGATTAATTTTTATAAAGATTATGATTTTTTTTTTTTTTGGGACGGAGTCTTGCTGTCGCTCAGGCTGGTGTGCAGTGGTGCGATCTGGGCTCACTGCAAGCTCCTCCTCCTGCGTTCACGTCATTCTCCTGCCTCAGCCTCCCGAGTAGCTGGGACTACAGGCGCTACCACCACGCCCGGCTAATCTTTTTGTATTTTTAGTAAGAGACGGGGTTTCACCGTGTTAGCCAGGATGGTCTCTATCTCCTGACCTCGTGATCTGCCTGCCTCGGCCTCCCAAATCTGGGATTAAGATTATGTTTCTTACTAGTCCTTTCCATGAAATCTAACAGCAAATAGTTTCCAAATGTGGATGTGTACTGAGACGAAATGAAAAGTGAATAACGAGCTGAGTTAAAACATCTTAAAACAGAATATGGCTGAATACTATCATTTATCATCAGTTGTCCTAGAATAACTTAAATTCTTCTAGCTTATTGTTGTTTTTTCGATAGTTGATTATAGTTGTGAGGCGGGATACACACACACCCACACTATAACAAAGATTTTCTGAGACTGAGAGTTAAAAAATACAGTGTTGGCCGAGCACTGTGGCTCATGCCTATAGTCCCAGAGCTTCGGGAGGCTGAGGTGGGAGGATCACTTGAGGCCAGGAGCTTGACATAGCAAGACTCCATCTCCAAGTTTAAAAACAAAAATAAATTAAAAAAAGATACACTGCTATGTATGACTGTTGATATAAAAAATCTGAATACTAGACATGGCGACTCATATGCTACTTCAAGGGCTTATCAACAAAGTTGCTAGTCGTAACACTGTGAATTGTTAATGATACTGTTTTGGCTTTGCTAGCAAGTGTTGTAAAGCTACATATACACATACATACATACACACACCCCTTTTAAAATAAAATGGTGATCCTGGTACTAAATATGATTTTAAATGGATTTAATTTTAATGGCTTGAGCTAGGTTCAGCTGTCACAGGGATCAAAATTAGCCTCTATCCCAGCTGGGGTCAACCAGGGAGCCACTTTTCTTAACCGACAACCTACTGCACGTCAACAACTGCAGGAGACGGGACTTTACCTTCGTCTCCGGTAAACTAGTTGACACATCCCGTGTTGGCAAGAGGCCTAAGCAGATGACCTTGGTCCTCTAAAATCTGGCCTGCACTCTCGGGGCACCCCTGCAACACCTATAAAGACAGCTCCAGATAGAAAAGGGTTGGGGTGGAAAAGCTAATAACGCCAGGCACCTGCCCCGCCCCGGGGCTGGGGGCTATTCCTGCGGTTTCAGCTGACTTTCGGAGCCATTCGTCTCCCAACACAGTCGGAGGCATTCCTCGGCTGGGTACACCAAGGGGCTCTGCAACCCTCCTGGGGGGTGCCCAGAGGGCTTCCGGATGTACCAGGTTTATTCTTTCGGGTCACAGCACAAACTAAAAGGAGGGATTACCCTTTCTGTCCAGTCGCAAGATGGCGACCGACCCTGGTGGGACTCCGAGGGGCCGCGGGCCACCTCCTCTTCCCAACGGCCCGTGCGCCGGCGGGGACGGCAAGCGGGGGGGAGGCGGAGCCGGCGAGGGAAGGAGGGGCGGAGCGCGGCGCCCTCCCGCGCGTCTTGGCCCCGCCCCACGTCCCCGCGTCCCGGCCTGGAGCCCTCGCCCGGCCGGGCGGCGCGCGCTGCCTGCCGGGATACTCGGCCCGCCCAGCCAGTCCTCCCGTCTTGCGCCGCGGCCGCGAGATCCGTGTTTCTCCCAAGATGGTGGCGCTGGGCTCGGGGTGACTACAGGAGACGACAGGGCCTTTTCCCTTCGCCAGGACCCGACACACCAGGCTTCGCTCGCTCGCGCACCCCTCCGCCGCGTAGCCATCCGCCAGCCCGGGCGCCCGCCATCCGCCGCCTACTTACGCTTCACCTCTGCCGACCCGGCGCGCTCGGCTGCGGGCGGCGGCGCCTCCTTCGGCTCCTCCTCGGAATAGCTCGCGGCCTGTAGCCCCTGGCAGGAGGGCCCCGCAGCCCCCCGGTGTGGACAGGCAGCGGCGGCTGGCGACGAACGCCGGAATTTCGGCGGCTCCGGCGCCCCCTTTCCCGGCCTCGTTTTCCGGATAAGGAAGCGCGGGTCCCGCATGAGCCCCGGCGGTGGCGGCAGCGAAAGGGAACGAGGCGGTGGCGGGCGGAGGCGGCGGGCGAGGGCGACGACGACCAGTGAGGCGGCCGCCGCAGCCCAGGCGCGGGGGCGACGACAGGTCAGTGTTGCCGCGGCCTGCGCCAGGCGGCGCTGGCTCCCCTCCGTCACTCGGCCGGCCTTCGGGGCCCGCGGTGGCGAGGTCGGCGCCCCGCTTCCCCGCCCCCCGCCGCCGAGGCGAGTGTTTGGGGGCGCGTGGTCCGGAGGGGCTGGTGCCAGAAGTAGGCCCCTGGTGGCCGCGGCTGCTGCAGTCTTAACTGTCAGTCCTGGCTGAGCGCCGGCGGGAGGGTTTTGTCGCCCGAGGGGACGCGAGCGGGCCCGGGGCGGGGCTGGACGTGCGAGGCGTCGAGATTTGGGCCTCCTCGGAGAGAGGCTTGTCGAGCCAGCCGGGGCCCCGGACTGGGAAGGGCAGGCCCTTTCCTTCCAAGGGGAGCTCGTTCTCGGCGTTTTCGAGGTTTCTGGCTCTCTTGGGGAAGACATATTTAGCCGTGTGCTTGGTGGGTTGGGGTTTTGGGGGTGGATTGATGGGAAGGGAGGGCGGAGGAAGTGGTATGTCAAGCCCAAGGGTTGTGCGCACAGATTACTCATGTGTTGCCGTCCACCAGGATTTCTGAAGTTGAACGTGAGTTACTGGCTTTGCCAGAGACTGCTGTGTTATATGCAGACCTGCATGCAAGCGGTTGGCCTTTTTTTTTTTTTCCCCCCTTTTCACTGGAGAAAATGAAAAGGATGCTTTCCTCATCTTAGTGTTAAAGGCTTTTGTTGGTAAAGGTGGAATTGAATGTACCAAATGCCTTAGTCCGTGAAATTTTAAAAATAATTTTAATACACTGGTGAAGCTTGGCAACCTTGAAAGAGAATTTAGCGTCTAAATTTTTTTAATGACTTTTTATGGATGTGCTAAATTAGTAACAGTACAAAATCTGTTTGAGATTATTAAGAGGCTAGGGTGCTGCTGAAAATGTAAAGTAATAGCATATGGGGTTTGCAGTGCATAGTTAACCTCAATCATGAAGGAATATGGATATGATGCGTAATTTTGGATCATTTCACTGCCTGCAATATTGAGAGAAGCAGCAAATTACAGAGTTTTTTGGGAGACGACTTAAAGTTTAAGAAATACAACTGTCGGAAGTTACCTGTCAGAGACACAAAGGTACCCAATCAATCTTGTGGAATACATTGGACAAGTGGGGTAAGGTGTTTGTCTCACACTTCTGACCAATAAGTACTCTTAAGAGGTGGTTTGGTAAATCATGTGAAATTTAGAATTTAGGAGAGATAAGAAAGTTTTATCTTGGTATGTATAGTGGAAATAGCTTTGAAATTAGATCCTGTTTTTAAATCTAAGCTACTTACCACATTTTTAGTGAAATGAATACAATATTAATGATGTGACTGATAAACCCTAAGCATGACCAGAAACCCTTTTAAGAAACACTAATAGTCTTGACCAAAAATGAAATAGCTTCAAGAAATAATTTGCAATGTTTGTGTGTTTATAATATACACAGGAGAAATACAAGAACAGAATATGAAGAGGTAACTCATAATCTTTACAAAATTAGAATGTAAACTATGCAAGTCTTACTGTGTCAATATTTATTAACCTGCATTAGTTTGCTAAGTAGTATGCTCACCATCCTCTGGACATTGCCCCTGTCCCTGAGGAGCTTAACTTTATACAGAGATACAAAATACTGTGTTTTGATTTCCTTTCAGAGGATTTATAAGCTACTTATGTTTTATCTGTCCTAAATTCTGCCCTTTTTTTTTCATGGCTGAAAAAATAACTTCCTAAGAAAGGCACGTACTAGTCAGAGGTGTGGGGAAAAAGTGTTCTCATCCCACTTGTCCAGTCCACTTAACAGTATTTATTGGGTACCTACAGTGTCTTTGACATGTGACATCTAATCAGTTGTATTTCTTAAACTTCATATCACTTCTATTTCAATCACCTCCTTCTCCCCTCCAAAAAAATTTACTGTGTAAACTGTGATAATACACTGTTTCTCTCAGTGTCAGTCAGTGGAATGATCAGATGTATAGGTCATAGCAAAGTTTTTCATCCCAAGCTCTTAAAATGATGTTTCCAAATGTCCATTTTCTTAAGTGACTGCTAATGTTCTCCAATCGTGTTACACATATTTTGTTTAGACCTATAATTGTATAGGTCTAAATGTAGAAACATTACATTATGTACATATGCAGCTGCTGAAAGAACATTAGTTTTCTAATTTTTAGATCGGGGTGAAGACAAACTTTTAGAAGTGATCTTTCAGTAAAATACTGGATGAAGTCTTAGGTGCTCTTTTTATGCTGGTTCAGGACAAAAGTTTTTTTGACTGGTTTTGAGTTTTCCCCTCACTGCCAAATGTAAGGATAAAATGTAGTAACAAGACAAATTGGTATGTATAGTGGTAATGTCTTTGGAATTAGACCCTACTTTTAATTCTGACCTTATTAATCTTGGTAAGCCACAGTTTTGTCACCTGTAAAATGGGTTGGTGAAACTTCCCCAGAGTTGTGAAGCTTAAAGTATGTAAAACGCCTAACACGCAGGCACTCAATAAGTATTACCTTAGAAATCTTCCTATCCAGGTTTTCTGAATGGTCTGGAAGCACTTTGTATATAATGGACTACAGCATGTTATCCTTTATATTGTTTATTTCTTTTCTCATTAGCTATGAACTGTTTAAGGCCAGGAATTCCTAGTGTTTACCAGAGAATGTGTTACTAGATGTCTTAGTCTGTTCTGGCTACTATTACAAAACACCACAGACAGGGTGGCTTATAAACAACGGAAGTTTTATTTCTCACTGTTCTGGGGGCTGAGAAGTCCAAGATCAAGGTACCGACAAATTTGACATCTTAGTGAGGGCCCTCTTCCCTTGTTCATAGACAGCTAGCTGTCTTTTCACTATAACTTCATGTAGTAGAAGAGTAGAGGGGGCTCTATAGGACCTCTTTTATAGAGGCATTAATTCCATTAATGAGGGCAAAGCCTCCCAAAGGCCCCAGCTGTTAATACTGTCACCTTGGCGGTTAGGCTTTCAACATGAATTTTGGGGGACACATTCAGACCACAGCACTAGAGCAGTCATGAATTAGTTATTGGTAAATCAGTAAATGATCAACTAACATTGATTAGGTTCCTCCTGTGGCTTCTATGAGCTGAGCTAGGTACTGACGCCACAAAGACAAGAAAGCTGTCTTTTTGAATGCTTATAATTGAGTGACTTTCTCACATTCATGTGTGTGTGCGTGTGTGTGTGTGTGTGTGTGTAAAACCCCATCACATAATGGAACTTCATTCTCCCATGCCCTTCCAATCTAAGAGCAGTTCTGTGGACTCAATACCTCCTACCCACCAGCTGCGACTCTGAAAATTTACTTTTGTACTCAGTTTAAAAAGTTCAGCCCTTTGGCACATGCATTATTACTTCATGCCTTGGTCCCAGCCCACCACCCCAGTATCTGGCATGTAGTGTATTAGTATTTGTGTGTGTGTGTGTGTGTGTGTATGTATGTATGTATATAGAATTTAAAATTTTTGGCTGGGTGGGGTGGCTCACGCCTGTAATCCCAACGCTTTGGGAGGCTGAGGTGGGCGGATCACGAGGTCAGGAGATCGAGACCATCCTGGCTAACACGGTGAAACCCCGTCTCTACTAAAAATGCAAAAATTAGCCAGGTGTGGTGGCGGGCGCCTGTAGTCCCAGCTACTTGGGAGGCTGAGGCAGGAGAATGGCATGAACCCGGGAGGCGGAGTTTGCAGTGAGCTGAGATCTGGCCACTGCACTCCAGCCTGGGAGACAGAGTGAGACTCAGTCTCAAAAAAAATAAAAATTAAAAAAAAAAAAAAAAAGATTTTAAAATTTTTACTTTGGCGGTTGTCTTCAAATACTCTAATTTTGGGGGGCGTGATTATGATTCTGTCTTCTGGCAATACATTGATAGATGCTACCTAAGTAGGATTGTCTATGAGGTCAGCTGCTCCAGTCATTTTATACATGAGGAAATTGGAGTGCAAAGCTTTAAAATGATTTTCTGAAAGACACCCAGGTGTCAGGACCAGAACTAGAATCCAAGTCTCTGGTTCAGGACTCTGCACACATTGGCACATGTTCTGTCCTGCCTTTTGGGATGAATAGTTACACTTGCTTTGTGATTACTCACCCACCTTTTTGGAGATACATGAGTGTTTTATACACTATTAATAGAAGGCAGCCTTCACAAAATGCCATCCACAGATCTGTTATTTCTTCTAATAAAGGAAATGATGTAAAATTACCTTAAATAGAAATAGTGTTAATTCTAGAAACATACCTCATAATCCAAACATGAAGTGTTTGAAATACTTAAAGATGCTATATAAATAAGTCCTTTTTAAAAAGATAATATTAAAAATTTTTGTTTTATAGAGATGAGGGTCTCACTGTGTTGCCCAGGCTGGTCTTGAACTCCTAGGCTTTTACCTCAGCTTCCCAGTGTGTTGGGATTACAGGCATAAGCCACAACACCTGGCAAGTTCTTTTTTTTTTAATGAAATGACTTATTAATACACAGCTTCTTTGCCAGCTTTTGTTTTCATTTGCTCTCAAAAATGTTGCTTAGTGCTTTGATGTGAGTTATCTGTAACAGGTAAATGCCATTATGGATAATAATTCAAAAAGAAGCTTATTAATTATTAGGCCTATCTGAGAGTG